GGGAAGACCTACAGGACATCTTCCCCTGTCCCGTCTGCCTCCACCACTGCCCTGAAGAGAACCTCAGGAGCAACACCCAATTTCGCCACATGACTGATGTGGTTCAGCAGCTTCCCGCCATGAGGAGGAAGAGGAAAAGGTCAGGAAGAGGAGGAGCCCCTGTGTGAGAAGCACTGTCTGCGTCTGGCCCTGTTCTGTGAGAAGGACCTGGAGCTGTTGTGTCCCCAGTGCAGGATCTCCTCTGGCCACCAGCATCACCCCCTGCTGCCCATTGAGCAAGCTGCAGCCAGAAACAGGAGAAAGCTCAAAAGCTACATTCAGCCACTAAAAGAGAAATTGAAGATGCCAAGATGCGATGTGAAGCGACAATGTTTAAATCTTTTAATGTGAAAAGGATGATGGAAACATGGAGGAAGGAATTACAGTCTGAATTTGAAGAAATTAAGATTTCCTTAGTAAAGGAACAAGCTGCAATTTGTGCCTCTTTACTTGTTGAAGAGCACAATGCTGAAGAAAAACTCGCTGAAAACCAAAGACAAATTTCAGAGCATTTACTTGTACTCCAAAACCTGCTAAATGCAGTAACAGAGAAGGGTTTTCAGGGAGACCTGGATGTGCTGACAGGTACTGAGAACATCTACAACACATATGAAAACCTGAAAGCCCCTGTAGTCTTCTCACATGAATTCAGGAGGAAGAGTTTGGGGCTCCCTCCACATTATTTTGGTCTCCAAAGAATGATGAGCACATTTCAGGAAGATTTGACGCTAGACCCGGAAACAGCCCACCCTAGTCTTTTTCTGTCAGGAGACAGAAAAAGTGTAATATTTAGTAGGCTGAATGCAGGCTTTACTGATAATCCTCAGTCATTTTGTTTTTACCCAGCAGTCCGGAGCTGTGAGGGCTTTGATGCTGGGAGACATTTTTGGCACGTAGAAGTGAGAGGCACAGGTGCATGGTCCCTTGGTGTTTGTAAAGAAACATTTCCCAGAGATGGTCTGAGATTGCCAACCCCACAGATGGGGTGCTGGGAAATTCAGCCATTCTGTAGTTCATGCAGTATAAGGAATACAGAAGTCCAGCAAATGGGAGTTTTTCTGGACTATGAGTTGGGAGAGGTTTCATTTATAATTTAAAAACAAGGTCACATGTGTACACTTTCACTGATAAGTTTACAGAAAAGCTTATGCCTTATTTCTCTGTCAACTCTTCTTCCAAAGTTGTCACAATCAGTATTGTCATAGACCAGTGATGGGCTCCCTAGAGAGCCCTTTGCATGTGTCTATCTTTTCTTCCTGTGTTGTTGGAGGGCATTAGTAATAAAGCCTCTGATTCCATGTATATATTTTTTTGTTTTGTTTTGTTTTAAAGATGGGGTTTCACCATAATGGCCAGGTTGGTCTTGAACTCCTGACCTCAGGTGACCACCCACCTCAGCCTCCCAAAGTGCCAGGATTACAGGCGTAAGACACCGTGCCCAGCCTCCATGTTTATCTTTGACTCTAGATATTTTGGGTGGTCTCACTCTTCTTTCTTCCCTTCTGCCTACTTGGAGAAGCTGATGAGAAAACCTGGATTCATCCTCTGTAGGTGCCAGTGAGAGGTTCGGCCCCAGGTAGTGCAGGACCCTTTCAGCAGCCCCACCCATGACCACAATCACAGCCCAAAACTAGTCTCCTTTCCCTGCTCTCTCAAGTCATTTTTGGATCAACTCTGTAGATACGCTGTTCTCCTCATAAATCTCACTACAGGAAGGAGAGTCTATTTCTCACAATCTTGGAGTGTGTGGCATTAGCAGTCTCAACACTAAAACAGATTGTCAGGGAAGGTCCATGTGATCTATGCAACTCACCCCTACAGAGGCCACTGTGAGCAGGATTATCCAGATGTTGGCTGCCACTGTCAGAGAATTGCTGTTCTTGCTTTGCTTTGCTCACTGGCTCTGCACCCCATGACAATCCTGCACTTTCAACTCTGCTGCTTTATGCTGCTTTTACTGAGTTCAGCTGAGGCTCTTTCAGAGATTTATATGACCTTAGTAATTTAGAAATATTTTGGTATTTAAGAACAGGAATATACACTCAGGTCCCTTTTATGTCTCTCTGAGTCATGCATTTCAGTCCAGACATATTGCTATGTCTTTTATAATTTAAAAAACACGTCCTGCAGGTTTCACTGACACATCCTACTTTCACTGACACCTTTACAGAAATGCATGCCTTATTTCTCTGTTGAACCTTCTTCACAACCTGCTACAATTAGTATTGTCATAGACAATAATTACATTAAATGACTACTGCGTCTTGTCAAAGTATAGTCACCTTAAAAGAAACAACCTGGGCTGGGTGCAGTGGCTCATGCCTGTAATCCCAGCACTTTGGGAGGCTGAAGTGGGTGGATCATGAGATAAAGAGATCGAGACCATCCTGGTCAACATGGTAAAACCCTGTCTCTAATAAAAATACAAAAAATTAACTTGGCATGGTGGCGCATGCCTGTAATCCCAGCTACTCAAGAGGCTGAGGCAGAAAAATTGCCTGAACTCAGGAGGCCAAGGTTGCCGTGAGCCGAGATCACGCCATTGCACTCCAGCCTGGGTAACAACAGCGAAACTCCGTCTCAAAAAAAAAAAAAAAAAAAAACAGAAACAACCTGTAAAGTGTACTGAATGTCTTTAAAAAGAAGAAAGAAAAAAAAGAAAACATAATGGACAGAAAAGTCAGACAAACAAAGAATAAAAAGAAAGAAAAATGCAACCAAATTCGAGTTACAAGGAGAAGACAAAAAAAACAAACAAAAAAACCTGTAAGAGAAGTTCCTAATTTGCAACTTCCAGGTGAAAACACAAAATTTACCAAAAGAATCTACATAAAAGATTAAAAGGTAATGGTTGTCTTATTTTTCTCTGTAACTTGGATGGTGATTGAACATCTGTTAAAATGCATCAATTAGAAAACTTTCATACATTTAATCTTTTGCCTTTAATGAGTTAACCAAGGATCCCTCTGATTTTAAACGATGAATCTGGCCAGGTACAGTGGCTCACGCTCGGCTAATTTTGTAATTGTAGTAGAGATGGGGTTTCTCCATCCCAGCATTTTGGGAGGCTGAGACGGGCGGATCACCTGAGGTCGGGAGTTTGAGACAAACCTGACCAACATGGGGAAACCCAATGTCTACTAAAAATACAAAATTAGCTGGGCCTGGTGGCACATGCTGGTATTCCCAGCTACTTGGGAGGCTGAAACAAGATAATCCCTTGAACCTGGAAGGCCGAGTTACTGTGAGCTGAGAACACACCATTGCACTCCAGCCTGGGCAACAAGAGAGAAACTCCATTACAAAAATACATACATAAATAAACAAAAAGAAAAATAAATGGTGAATTCTCTATTACCTTAATGATGTTACTAAACATAAAATGGAGGTAAAAGAGGTATCCTTTGTCTTAACTACGAGAACCACTGGTTTTCCTAAATTTTCCAAGATGAGAGCTCACACTGGGATGATAAATACAGAGAAAATAAAGAGATACAATAAGTAATATGCCGTTTAATTAAGTCTTTTGCGTTTTTCAATAGCTTTACAAACGGGATTCAATGGATGTTCCTGACCCCAGTGAAAGAAGATAATATGACTAAATATTAGTTAAAATGGGATACTCAAGTATTGAAACCCATGATGCAAGACCTAGGAGTGATTATCCCACTGTTTCTGGGTTCAACCCCAATTTTCTGTCCTCTTCTACTTTGAAAGAAGTAGGACATCTCAGAGTGAATCGATGCCAGCTTTAATGGGGTGATCTCTCCCAATGTTACTGACATGGCTTACTCCATCCAATCAGCAAATCGTAAATATCAGGCTACTCCAGATTTGGTTATGTTTTTCAGGCTTATTGTGACAACTTCCTGGCCATGCTTTCCCTTTACCTGAAAGGAATTTTATGCACCTCAATCCACCAATTGTGGGCACCTCAGCAGTCTTGCCTTTGCATACAAACTTTGCAGGGAAGATCTCAACTTCATTCAATGTCTTCCAGAACTGCAGGTGTGATTTACACTGATGACATTCTCCTCCATGGTAATCCATTTGAAACGCTCATTCAGGCAGGCCATGAAAATACTCACAAAGCAGTTTACACAAAGGGAATGTGTCATTACTCCCACACAGTGCAAGCCCCTTGTTTGATTAAATGCCTAAAAACTGTTTTGTAAATGATAGCAACTCCATCTCTAACACTGTGGAGAAGCAGCTATTAAACCTCTCAATGCCCTCAATGTGAAACAAGCCAAAATCCTTAGCCCTTTTTGTATTTTGAAGGAAATATATTAATCACTTATAGATTTTGCTAAATGTCACTTATGCTGTTAGTTCCAAATCCACCCATATTCAATGGTGCCCCCTCCACAAAAGGCTTACAGACTCTAAATTGCAGTACATTAAGCTCTCACAGGCACTGAGCCTGTAACAGTCCATACTAAGTTGCTCAGCATGTCTTGGATTCTAGAAGCAGCACCCCGCTAGCTCTGCAGAGGTTTAGGAGGAATCCTTGTTACATCATAGAGTCAGATGCGGGCCCTCTGCCATATTGGTTCTACAGGAATGAGTAGCCTGCCTACCTTGTTCTTAGTCATTGCTTTATGCCATGGGTTTAGGAGATCACTGCCCTCTTAGGCCCATCAGCTACCAAAAGAAACTCCTTCCTACCCCTCAACCCCAGGATCAAATGAGAAACAGCAGAGGAGGGTTATACACTGTAAGGATTGTCCGACCTACCCTCTGCGGGAGGACTGAGCTCGTTTGGAAAAAACCGGACCACAGGTTAAAAGAAAATCCTTAAGTTCAGGCTTTATTGAGAGAAAAGAGCCTCCGGGCAGACCAGCCAGGAAGGAGAGGAAAATGGCCGCGCTGCTCAGAGGAGCAGGGCTCTTTTATAGGGGGTTGAAGGGCTGAGGGAGTGGGGAAGCTGAAAGAGCCGAGGTGGTGGGCGTTTGGTCAGTTTGAACCGCTGGGCGGGAAGCTGGGCGGCGGGAAGCCGGGCGGCGGGAAGCTGGGGAGTGCTGATGAGGCAGAAGCCGGGTGGGAGGTGGCTGCGGCGGCGGGAGGGCTAGGGCGGTATGTAGAGTGAGAGATAAGGGAGCCTCTTTGTGGGGAGAGGGAAAGAGAGCTTTCACGGTAGGGGTAGAGTCTTCTAAACAAAGATGACATAACCATTGTCATGTGTGATGAGCTCAGTAGAGGTTTACTACTTTTTATTGATTAATCAGGACATTCTTAATAAGCAACAGGACTCCAGGGTCAATGAATGGATGAAACTTCTCAGAACTGGAGCCCCTGGCCAACAGTCGGCCCAATATGCACAGTTTTGCGAACTATGGGTCCATGACCTCAGAGTTACCTGACTCAGAGTAAATACTTCTTGCCTCACTAATATTCAAAATCTAAATCCAGGTCATACATTTCTCTACATACACTAAAGCCAAAATACAAAGCCACAGCAGGATTTGGAACTCCTTTGTAGTTCTAGCCATTATTGAGAGGGACCAAGGACTCATTTCACTTCCCAGAATATGCAATGCTGGGTTCCTAGGGAATGCATTCAATGGAACTGTACTTCCCTTACTAGATTAAGCTGTCAGCATCACTGAGCACCAAGAAGGCTTACTCAAACAAGTTCAAATTTAACAAAATAAAACATAGTGCATCTAATCAACTGTTAAACATTGGGGTGGAAAGGATCCAAAATAAATAGTTGAAATCTATTTGTATAGTTTTTCACTCTTGAAAACATTTAATCCTCACTCCTTCATTCTTTTCTTTGACTGCACATCTGGGCAATCTGCTAAGAAAGCCCAGGTACTCCCACCTTCAGTGCAGGAAAGAGATTCCAACCACACAATTTCATCCTGAGCAAGTGATCCTTCACCCTGACCACACCTCAACCTCAAGAAAAACAGCCAGCCTGTCATCTTTCTCTGCTCTCATTGTCCATTTTCACACCACAGACCGGCCTCTGTGCTCTCCTGCCACACCCCAGCATGTGACAAACACACCTGTTTCTATCATTCTAGTGTGTATGGGTGTGCGGCATCATCAGTCTTCATATCTGGACTAACTTTGATCAGTGTTCAATTTTTCCCATGCGGGACTGACACAATAATACATAGGATGCTGTATGGTCTCAGTTTAATTTTTGAGATAATATGAAAAAGCCCCAGCATGCAGAAAGAGAGACATAATTGTGTAATAGATTCCTGCAACCCCCTTGGATCCATTACACAGTTTCAATAATTATTATGGTCAATTTTATCAAGATCATGCTCTTTCTACTTTCCCCAAATCATTTTAATGCAGTAATCATACATCTTATTATTGTATCTCTATCTTAAAATAAAATACTAAAGGAACCATTTAAAAGTTTAATTACAGTGTAAGTATCACCTTAAATATATAAATATAGGTCCATTCCCTCTCTGGGTTGTCCACCCTCCCGGCACTTCAAAGTGTTCATGAATCTCCACTCCTCTTATGACATTCTTTAAGAGTTTGTATGAAGTTTATTTTCCAGGTCCCCTCACCCCCATTCTGCTGAAAGTACTAATCACTTGGTCTTCCACTGAGCAGCCCTATCCTGAGGCTACCCCAGGGCCCCACCTCAACCCACCTCATTAACATAAATCCAGTGGTTCCAAAGGGGCTCATTACAAATAACAAAAGACTGGCTGGGAGCCATGGCTGTCATCTCAGCACTTTGGGAGGTCAAGGAAGGAGGATAAAACCAGGAGTTCCAAACCAGCGTGGCCTATAGAGTGAGACAACATTTCTACAAAAACAATAATTTTAAAAAATTAGCTGGGCCTGGTAATGTGTGTCTGCAGTCCTAGATATTTGGAAGGCTGAAGCTGGAGGATCTCTTGAGCTCAGGACTTCCAGGTCACAGTGAATCGTGATTGCACCACTGTACTACAGGGTGACAGAGCAACATCCTGTGCCCCTCGCACACAAAAAAATTAAAAACCCAGCACTTGCCCTCATGCTCCACTCAATGCATGATAGGTTACTTCTTCAGCTCTCACCCCATCATGACCAATCTTCAGGTCCCTACCCCTGTTGCCTTCACCAAACTGGACCCTGGAGAATCAATCAGAGAACAAGATACAATTTTCCTCTGAGACCTGTCACTTCCCTTATGCTGACTGTATAAAGAAAGAAAAATTCCTACAGGGTATAAGACTGAATTGTTCTGAGGTCATCGTATTGTTGAACAAGAAGTGGGAACCACATATATACATATATGTATATATATGTACACACATATATATATGTATATATATGGTTCACTCTTTATTCTGACATCTTAAATGAGAAAGTTTTGTATGTTGTATGAGAATCACAGATTTGGACTTCTCATAAGGGGGTTCACACTAGTTTCACCCTAATTACATCTAATTATGTCTGAGGTGTTCTGCATGATCAGCATATCTACCATTAAACAGTCAACAGAAGTATGAGAAACACAAATCATTCTTGGAATATCTTGAGTTCTGTGACACACTAAATTCTATATTTTAAAAAATGTTTTCCAGGTTGAGCTCCATGGCTCAAGACTGTAATCCCAGCAGTGTGGGAGGTCCAGGCAGAAAGATTGCTTGATGTCAGGAGATTGAGTCTACAGTGAGCTATGATCTCTCCACTGCACTCCAGCCTGAGTCACAGAGACTCAGTCTCAAAGAAAAAAAAAATAATTTTCCAGAAGATCTGTCTTTATTGGTGTTTATCTTTTTTTTTCCATGTGCGCATTTATTTATTTCAAAGATTGTTTGTGTTCCAGCGACATCTTCTCCGAAGGAACCCACCCAGCCTGTGCACAGGCGAGGTACAGGGCTGTCTTCGGTGTTTAAAGTGTTACTGAGGAATACAATCACTGTCAGGAAAGTTCATCACTGCACTTCAGCGTCAGGCCAAACCTTTTCACGGACCTGGAAAACCTGCCATTTTCTTCTTTTTCTTTAAAATGCAGTTTTGACATAACATTGTTAGAGTAAACAACAAACCAGAAGCCTAAATGATGAGTGGTGCATTACTGCCCCGCTCCTAGCTGAGGAAACAGGGCAGCGGACTGTGTTTCGAATGCAAATGGTCATGGGCCCAAGGTAACCTGAGTTTGCCCCGCAGGATTCTGCAGATGCCTTGCCCCGTGCAGGATGCTTTGGTCATCGTGTCTGGGTCAGTTTGGGGCAGTGGAGAGAGGGCCTAGCAGCAGGGTTTATGTCAGTCTGGAGGTCTGTTTTCATCTGACAGAGATAAATGTCCTGATTTTCACTGTCCATCAATTTGTACTCAGAAGTTTCCAGATTAAGAGTCGTGAGACTATTACCCAGGAAACACCCACCTTTGGTGGCCACCAATGTAAATTGATCTTTCCCTCTCTGCTCAAAGAAACTTTGCAACTCTCATCTATAGATGTGGCCAGTAAAACCCAAGAAAAAATCCAAATGGCACAAATTTGTCATTGAGTGGCAGCTGGTAGAGTAGCTGTCATAAGGGATCAGCGCTGGTTTTGAACTCAGACTTGAAACTTGGTTAAAATAAAATGCTCCGTCAAAACTCTCATGTCAGGTTTTCAACTAGGAACAAGGAGATGGCTAATTTTGTTATTGCTACAATAACACACACGTGTGTGCAGACAGACACACCACACACACAAAGCTCCATTTCATTCCTCCACAAAGAACAGAGACACCTCCTTAAACAAAGCAAACTGGGAAGGGCTGCTAGCTCATTAAAACCAACATGAGCACCCAGTTCCAGGGATACAGACACAATTAATCTTAGTGTTCACAAGAAATCGCCTTTAAAACCCCACTCGACAAAACTTTCATCCAGACAAACACCAAAAACAAAAGCCCTCAAGCCACAGAAGCTTGTAGTAGAAGTGAAGCGATAAAGGTGATTTACACATCAGCATTTTAAGTATTTGGTGAATCATGTTAATTGATCTTTAACCTTCACGACATTTACTTTATCATAAATACCCTACACCATGGAAAAACAAACCTGTATAGAATAGCTTGAAAAGGAAACATTCACAGTATCAACAGAACCCGTTGTCTCATGGTGCTACCCTGAAGCTAGCCTATGTGTTTTTGTGGCCATTGCTTCATTGGCTCCCTGCTACATTGGTGTTTCCTGTGACTTCAGAAAAGGTCACTGGATGGAGATCACGTGAGCATGGAGACCATGTGAGTGTGCCTGTGGGTAGCAGAGCCCCAGACTTAGGTATTCAACAGTAAGCAGTGCTCATGGGATTCATCTGGAAATAGGATGGTTAAAAACTTTTTTGAGGAGGAGCAAGAAGGCTTAATCTAAAATTCTGGGCCTGGCACAGTGGCTCATGGCCATAATCACAGCACTTTTGGAGGCTGAGGCGGGTGGATCACCTGAGGTCAGGAGTTCAAGACCAGCCTAACCAACTTGTTGAAACTCCATCTCTACTAAATACAAATAAATCAGCCAGGTGTGGTGGTGCAGGCCTGTAATCCCAGCTACTTGGGAGGCTGAGGCAGGAGAATCGCTTAAACCTGGGAGGTGGCAGTGAACCACCATTGCACTCAAGCCTGGGCAACAGAGTGAAACCCCATCTCCAAAAAACATTTTTTTTTAATAAAAATAGCTTCTGATATCCTCATACTTGAGTAGAGTGCACCTGAATTCCAAAACCAAACAAAAAGAACAATTAAAAACTTCTCATCAGTGTCTGAAATTCTGACACATAATATTCTCCTGGAATTCTTCTATGTCTCAGGCTCTTTTTACCATATGGCCAAGACCAGGAAAACCTCAAGTAAAACATTCAAGTGCATCTGCCCCAAAAGACTAGCTGTGGTGCCCGACTCTGGGGACAGCAACTGGGTAGTACTCATATATTTTGCAACTCCAAGTGCTTTTTTTAACAACAATGATTAAAATTGGAATATAATTTTTAAAAACAAAGCAGGTTGTAAAAGTCATTTTAAAGTCATTCGATAATTCCTGGAACACTGAAGAAGTATGTAATGTGCATCTTAAAGTGAAATTCCTAATGGAATGTTCTAATCTCTCCCCCTAAAGAACAACAACAAAAAACAAATCCTGTAATTTTGGTCTTTATATAGGTTTCTACTCACCAGCGTCTCTGTGACCTCTGAAATATTTAATGTTTAAGGATTAAAGAATGCCTATGGAAGGAAGCTCACCCATCTCCATCTCCAGGACTGAAATCAAGTGTTCATAACAGCCTTTTACATCTCTTTGGAGAAAAGGGAATCACATTAAACTGTCGAAACACTTCACCCAATGATGACTGCTTGTTCACCAGCAGGTCTACTGGAAGGGGCACATTCAGAAGGAGCAGACCAAAGTGCAAACTGTGAATGAACTGAAGTAGAAAGGCAGCTGACGAGGAAAGCGACTAGAATGATACCTGGGGATATTAAAACGGTGTGCCAGGTTCATCACGTTTTCCACCAAAACAAACCCAAACAAGGGCTCCCCAAACTGTGTCCAAGAGCACTGTTGACAGCAAAATTCTCCTAGAAGAAATTTCCTGCAAGTTTAGCCCATTTAAACTTCCATTCCTAAGACTGACACGTGAGACACAAAATAATTTCCTCTACTGCCCTAAAAAGACTTTGTTTTGCCTACTGGCAGCATTTGGCAAAATCCATGTCTCTGGTTACCATATTCTACGAGCGGTCACATATGGCTCCCAACTTCATCCGACAGGCCTGCTGTGCTCTTGTTTAGCAAGTATAACAGGCAGGAAAAAAAACCTGGCTGTCAATGGCTCCACTAGTATTATTAGAGCTTTTAACACAATAGAGAAAAATGTAAAAAGCACGTGAGAATATATATATCTTACACTTGCAAGTAGGCTCAAAGTAAACTTAGAAAAGTATCCGGCATACTAGGCATAGGATATAGAGTTCAAGTTCTATGGCTAATACCGAAGGCAGATGTCTTCTTACATTTGCAACTGCTTTCCCATTTCTATCATAATTTCTCTATTTATAAAAATCCTGCCTATGTTTTACTTCCCTGTACTCAGGGCCAGCTGCATGTTTTAGTCCAAGCAGCAGATAAGGAGAGATGACCAACCCATTCCATTCACAGTGACAGCACAGAAGGGCGCCTCCTTTTTGTGACATGGTCCAGGCATGGGCCCAAAACAACACTTGTTAGTGTGTAGAATAGGTAAACGGAGTCCCTCAAACCTGCCCTCCACGATCCATTAGAGTACATTATTTTTCTTATTATGTTAATCTCCTTCTAATATTTAGCCCTGACTCTTAGCTTTGAGCACGGCCCAAGCTCTGGAGTTGTCAAGTCTCATTTGGCATCTGGTGGCAAGTTAGGCTTTTTCGCCCTCTTTGGGGAAAGCCTGGCTGGAGCCTCAGATTTTGTTTTCCCTTTAAAAGACTAGATGGTTGGAAGAAACCCAGCAAGACAAGCGGGGCATCTGGACATCTGGCGGACATGCTTGCTGTGTCCTGGTGAGGGTGGTAATGCAGGGGCAGGTCTTCTGGCTTGGTGGTCGTGACCTCAGCCCCTAGTGCAAGGCTCAACAGGGGCACCATTCATGGTATTCTTGTTTCTGTGCCTGGAGAGCAGCTTCTTGTTCAGGATCTTGGTGATAGTGACCCCTTTCCTCCGGGAACCCTCTGGCTGCTCCAGGAACACAAGGTCATTATGTGACTGACTCATGTATGGGTCTTTCTGTTGATGCCGCTGGCAGAAGAACAGCTTTGCACCTTTCCTTAGAATTCCTCCTTTATGCTTTTTGGCAGGACCCGGCTCTGAGACACTCATGGAACTCTCTGACAGCTCATCACCGTCGGGGTCCAGCAGGGCCAGGCCACATCCTGGGGCTCCTTTTCCAAGACCCAGGAGTCTGGGTCGTCCTCCAGGGGATTAGGGGCAGAGGGTGCCTGGGCTGACTCGGCTTCCTCCGGCGGGGCAGAGGCTGTGTCTGCCTCTGGATGGGACAGGGCGTCCTTCTGGTGTGCGCTGTCCACGGAGGCTGCACAGTCCTGCATCAGGGCAGCATCGTGGTCCTGGGACAGTGAGGTCTTGGAGATCCCTGATATGATACTAGTGCTTTTCTTCCGTGACGACTTGAGTTTCAGCTTTGAAGATTCGCTGAGTTGCCGAATGGCAACTGCAGCCACTGGATCCAAACCACTCAACACCAACAATTCTGTGTCTGAAGAAGAGAGAGTTTTGCTGATGGGTGCACTGCTGCAGGAGATGGCCTGGACAGAGGTGTCCTTCTCGAGCACCTTCACCTTGACAGGAGTCTTCACTGGAGACTCAGAGCTCAGCGGGGACACCCTCCCCATGTCGACGCAAGGCTTGGTCTTCACAGTGGTGACAGTAGTGACCACAGTCCCACAGGGCATCACCTTGTGGTCCTTTCCTATTCTTGCAGCAGGAACAGAGGAGGGATGGGTGAGGATTTCAATTCACCAGGTTCCACATAAGAAAAGGGGAGAAAGAAAGCAAAACACACTGCCATGTGTGTACCTATGCAACTGTCTTGCATGCTCTGCACATGTACCCCCAAACCTAAAATGCAATAAAAGATTAAAAAACAAAAAAACAAAAAAAAGAAAAAAGAAAACTCTGACGTGATGGATCCCAGCACTGAGCAGTCGCAGGCAGACCCACTGATCAGCATGAAGCTCTGTGGTCCAGAAGGCTGCTTCTTAAATAAATCCAAAGGAACTGTCGCCATCGCCAGCAGACCTTCTGAGGATCGCCAAGCCTCTGAAATCTGCAGGTGTAACTCCTTCGACTTGGCATTCAACTGGAAGGTGAATTCCTCTTTCCACGTGAGGTCCGTAGTGTTTTTCTTCAGGGTGCTGGAGAACCTCTGAAGAGGATCGTTCAGCTGCACGACACACTCTGTGTTAATGTGGCCTGCAGCATCAGGCTTGCTGAGCAGGAAGGCGCGGATACTCCTCACCAGCAGCTTTAGCTCATGAGCCCTCGAAGGTTTGGGAAGACAGGACTCCTGAGCAGTAGACTGAGCACTCTCTAAGCTCTGAGCTTCCTGTACATTCGTGGGCTTGGTGATCAGAAGCACTGATGGAGAGGCAGAACAAACCAAATGCTTCAAGAGCTCCTTCAGAGTGTCTGACACCGTGCACGTCTCGGCCACCTGGTCCTCCCCGTTCTTTGGGCTGGATAGTAATGGCCATTTCCGGCACACTCATGAAGGACCAGTTAATCTGGAGGTCCTCTCTCCTCTTTCAGGCGGAACTCCAGCTGAGCACACTGGAGACCGCCTCCACCGCCAGCTCCAGGGGCTGCTGCCGCGGGTCCTCCTTGAAGGACAGGAAAGGTGGGCCGCCTTTCCTCTCCGCCTCCTCATTCAGGGTGGTCACCCAGGCCACATACCTCTGGCTCCTCCAGCTGCTCAGCGTCAGGCTCTAGGAGAGCAGCGCGTGGGACCCAGGGCGCGGCCCCTGGCCAGGCTCCAGCTCCCGCCGCCAGGGCTGGGGTCGCGCCCTGGCCAGCGCCCACTGCGCCAGGTACAGGCCCACCGTGACCAGGGCCGCGACGAAGAGCGACACCGGCGCGAACCACGGCACCTCCCAGAGCCACGAGCCCAGCCGGGCCAAGGCCATGGCGCATCCCTGGCCCGCCTCGCCCCAAATTCCTCGGCAGCCCCGGGCGCGGGCAGAGGGCTCAGGATACCGGCTGGCGGGGACCGCTGCTCGCCGGGGGCGTGGAGGGGGCGCGGCGGGGCCCGAGCCCGGCGAGGAGCGCGGCCCGGGCCTCCGGAAGGGGCGGCAACGCGCGGCAGCCGGGGCTGGGAGCAAGACGTGCACAACTGCCAAAGAGGGGCGCGAGGGGACCACGCGGCCGGCGCTCCCGACTCGGCCTCTGGGACGTTCCCGGGCGGTGGCTGGAGGCACTTCCTTCTGCGCGCACCGCCCCCGGGCTTCCAGCCTGGGGCCCAGCGGTGGCCTGAGGAGGCTCTGGCCGCGGGGCGGGCTATTGGTGTTTATCTTTACACAAACCTCAATAAAGAGATATTGAGGTTGATTTTTCTTGTTTTCATGTCCATGAAAGGCTGAAGGGGAGCATCATGGAACCAGCCCTAGATGACTCAGGTAATCTGAGAGCAGGCCTGGGATCCACACACAGGACACACACCCAGACGGAACCACAATGCCTGGCCTTCCTCTTTCCTCAATCACAATTTAAACCAATCTGGAAATTTTATGAGATTAAGAGTGGTGACAGGAAAGGAGAGAGGATTGGTAGAGGAAGGAAAGTCCATTAAGATTAGGGACAATTGTGAGGGAGAAGAGAAAGAGAGAGGATCTGAGAGCCCTGAGATGGATTGAAAGGGGAGCAGTGGCTCAAACAAAAGAGGAGGGATCATCAGTATTTAAACAGACCACATTCTGTGTGAGTACAAGCTAGTGGTCCTTAGTTCAGGAGGCATTGGGAAGTCTGCTCTGACAGTTCAGTTTGTTCAGGGAATTACTTTTTTTAAATATGACCCAATGATAGAAATTTTCTAAAGAAAGCAAGTTGAAGTGGATTAACAACAGTGTATGCTAGAAATCCTGGATACTGCAGGGACAGAGCAATTTACAGCGATGATGAATTTGTATATGAAGAATGGACAAGGTTTAACACTAGTATATTCTATTATAGCTCAATCCACATTTAATGATTTACAGGACCTGAGGGAACAGATTCTATGGGTTAAAAGTACAGAAGATGTTCCAGTGATTTTGGTTGGCAATAAATGTGACCTGGAAGATGAGCGAGTAGTTGGCAAAGAACAGCGCCGGAATTTGGCAAGACAATGGTGTAACTGCGCCTTTGTAGAAACTTCTGCAAAGTATTGATCTTTGTGAGCTGGTCAGACAGATAAATAGAAAAACACCAGTGGAAAAGAAGAATCCTAAAAAGAAATCATGTCTGCTGCTCTAAGCCTGTAGTCAACAGCAGCTCTGAGCCAGATTACAGGAATGAAGAACTGTTGCCTGATTGGAAAGTGCTAGCACTTTAGACTTCAAAAAATAAATCTGAAGATGCTTCTCACGCTGTATATATTATGTGAAGAATTTAGATCTTATGTTGCTTTGCACAAGTTCCCTGGAGAAAAAAATTGCTCTGTGTATGTATATCTCTTGGAAAATAAGACAATGGTGTTTCTCCTTTGCAATAGCAGTTATAACAGGTGTGAAAATATACTTGACTCTCATATGGTTATACAAAAGAGCATGGATGCATTTCAAATGTTAGATATTGCTGCTATAATAAAATGATTTTATATTGACCTTTTTATCATGATTCTTCCCTATCGAGCACTAAAAGTTGAACCATTCTACTTTATATGTGTAATGATATTATGAAATGTCCCCTCAACCGCATTGCAGCAGATAACGTTCTTGAGTCATTGACTTCATTTCATATTTAAAAAAATATGGAATATCATTTGTCATCATATTCTAATTAAAATTGTTTCTGCATAATGCTTTGGAAAAAAAGGGTCTATTTTCCTACAGAAGAAAAAAAAACTGGAATAACTGATTTCTATGGCTGTTCTCAAACTCCAGAGCTCATGTGATCTGGCCACATCAGCCTATCAATCAATAACAGATGAGGCGTGGTGTCTCAAGCCTGTAATCCCAGTACTTTGGCGAGTAAATCATGAAGTCAGACTAGCTTGACCAACATGGTGAAACCCCATCTCTACTAAAAATACAAAAATTAGCTCAGTGCTCTGGTGGATGCCTGTAATCTTAGCTACTGGAGAAGCTGAGGCAGGAGAATCGCTGGAACCTGGGAGGCGGAGGTTGCACTGAGCCAAGATCTTGCCACTGCAATCTAGCCTGGATGACAGAGTAACATTCCATCAAAAATTACAAGATAATAAATAAATAAATAAAAACTTAATGAGTTTTTCCATTTTAACTAAGGAATGGTAATTCTAGACTTCTGCCACAACATTATGGTTGACAAAACATTCTTAATTCATTGTAAATAGATCTAACTTTAGATCCAGAAACAGCAAGTCATAATCTTGTATCTCTGAAGATAGAATACAGTGAGATTTGGAAAGACACCCCAAAGACTCATGATCCAAAAAAGACTAATGTTGGTATTCTTGGAAGGAAGAGAAAGAGAAAAAAATTAAATGGGATAGACTTAACGGTGTTGTTTGTAAGAACTGTCTTCCCAGGAGATGGAAAAAGACGCTATCACGATAGGATTCATTCTTTAGTATTCAGCTACAGAAATGTAATAATTTTACCAAAGTCACTACAGTGGGTAGAGTGGCGAGAGTTATTCTGCTAAAAGTAAACACAGTAATATTAGGATTTTTCTGGACAATGAAGTGGCTGAGGTTTAATCTTATAACTTGAATGCCAGGTCTCATACCTTTTCTTCAAGTGATATTTTTATGAAACTCTTTAGGCTGTGTTTCCCACTGGGTGTGATTTATAACCACATATAATTGGTATATTAATAGATTATGAAGGACGAAAAATTTAAAAACTATTTTCTATTTTATTTAGAAGAGAAGCTCTACAATTCTGAATTCTATCTTTACCACTTATAAGCAGAACAAGGCTTTTTATATTTCACTATTTTAGCAACTATTAATAAAATATTATTTTTAAAAGCCTACTCTTCAGAGACATAATGGGAATAAATTGTGAAGTACTTTTGATATTCTAAGATGAAAGTTAGTGTACTTAGTCAATATTTAAATGCTTTCCACATTATGAATTTTATCAAAATTATGTAGTTATTAGCTCAGTCCAGCAACAAAACAGGCTTATATAAAAGCAAAAATCTCCTGGGTCATGCCATCCTACGCCAAATTCCTGGTAAACAGAGGCATGATTTATTCTAGTGACCTTGCTATTTCTCCATGGCTGTAATATGTCTGATGTTAGATATTTCAAATTAACATTGTATTGGGTCAACTGAGAATTTAGTCTACCACCCAGGCACACACTCTGTTTTTTCCCACAAATATACAAATATATTAATGTAATTTAAGTAATATGTTCATATGACTATATAATTGTTCACAGCTGAGCCAGTTAGGTACTATAATTATAATTTCTATGATACACAAATTTTGTCTTACTGTGATTAAAATTGCCTGATTTCTTACTTGCTGCATTTTCTGTTTATCTTTTTCAGCCCCATATCTGCTAATCTCTAAAATTCTTCTCAATAAAAGTAAACTCAACATGTAATTTATTGAATCTATTCATTTCCTTTGTAGTACCCTCTCCTGAATCCCTCTATCCTCTTAGCATGAACTGAAGTTTGGTGATATGATGCACAGCTGTCATCTGAGGTCTTTCATGTTTCCACTACCCTAAGAACTATCTTTTCTTTTCTTTTCTATCTTACATCTAGAAATGTTAAGTCTGTTGTTGTCTGAGTCCCTTGTTTTAATTCTTAGTTTTATTCCCTTCCTTCGGCGAGCATATCACCAGGTAATTCCCTGAAAAAGAGGATGTGGAAGATGTGCCAGTCATTTCCTTTTGTGCTGTGAGGTGTGGGAATGTGTGCTAGGTCCTGCATTGCATCTGGAGGAGGGTCAAGAACATCTGTGAAGGCCACACATGTCTGAGACCAAAGTTCAGAGTCCCTACTCGTTACTCATGCTCAATCAGAACATGGAAAACACTGGTTTCTCCAACTCCCAATACCACACTGACAAGAGTTGAATAAAAATAACAGTAGAATCCAGTTTGATGAATGAAAGAGACATATCACCAGGGGAGTATGAACCCTTTAATGCATGAAGGGTAACCATAGCAATAACAAACTTCAAACTCTGCCTGACTCCTGGCTCGATTAGTACAAACACATCCTCACTATAGGCCTAGCAGAAGGGAAACAAGTTTGTCTCTGCTATTGGTTGAAGTGTTCTCCCAAACACTTATATCAAAGTGCTAACCAACTACTTCAGATGTAACCTCATTTGGAAATTAGGTATTTACAAAGGCAATGGATTAAGGCCTGGCATGGCGGCTCATGCCTGTAATCCAAACATTTTGGGAGACCAAGGTGGGTGGATTATCTAAGGTCAGGAGTTCAACACCAGCCTGGCTAAGATGATGAAACCCCATCTCTAGAAAAAATATAAAAATTAGCTGGCTGCAGTGGTGGGTACCTTTAATCCCAGCTACTTAGGAGGCTGAGGCAGGAGAATCTCTTGAACTTGGAATGTGAAGGTTGCAGTGAGCTGAGATGGTGCCACTGCACTCCAGCCTGGGTGACAAAAGAGAAAACTGTCTCAAAAAAAAAAAAAAAAAGTAATTAGTTAAAATGAGGTTATTAGGGTCTGCCTTAATCTAATATGACTGCTGTCCTTATAAAAAGATGAAATTTTGACACAAAAATATGCACAAACGATGGTTCTGTGCAGAAACACAGGGAAATGCCATTGGAGCGATGCGTCTGCTAGCCAAGGAAAGCCATAGATTGGCAGCAACTCACCAGAACCTGGAGCCATGAAAGAAATTCATCACAGCACTCAGAACAGACCATTCCTGCCAACACCCATATTTTGGACTCAGACTCCAGAACTGTGAGACAATAAATTTTCTGTTATGTAAACCACCCAGTTTATGATACTTTGTTAGGGTATTCCCTCCAAAACAAATGTAATCTACAAGTATAAAAATGTTTACCTCAGTATATATTTTTCTATATGTGTCTGGTTTTTACCAAAAACAAAAACAAACAAACAAAAACCTACGAGGCAAAGGTATTTGTAAAAGGAAACAATGTAAAAGGAATATACACCACACTCTGAAGAGGCAAAACAAACATCAGAACTCTACTAAGCTATAATACAAATGTAGAAATTCTCAGGCACAAAATGAAAAATAACTGTAATTGTTATGTCAAAGGCTTTAGTGGAAAATAAAGACACTATGCAGAATGAGATAGTTAATCTTAACAGAGAGTTGAAAACTGTAAAATCAAATGGAAAAGCTTGGCATGGCGGCTCAGGACCCTAATCACACCACTTTGGGAGGCTAAGGAAGGTGGATCACTTGAGGTCAGGAGTTTGAAACCAGGCT